GTTTGGTTCTGTTTGCTGTCTTAGTCTGTCTATTTCCAGTCTCCACTGGAGACCCATGGGGCCTACGGAGAAGAACAATTCTCCTTAAGACCCGGTCGAAGGATTGGGAAGGCCTTTGCTCTGGGTTTGTTGTTTGGTTCTGCCAGCTTTCCTGTTCTCAGATGCTTGTAGCACAGGTCTCACTGTTGTGCATGACAAACGCACACATTGCTGTAGGTCACAAATGACATGCATTGACTGTGCAGCTGAGAAATCCAGGGAATAAATGGCTTCAAGTACAGGTGGACCAGAGGTTCTAACTGTTGTGCCTTGCTCCTTCTCCTTGCTTGCTTGCTTGCTTCTGTGTTGGCTTCAAACCTAGGTAAACTCTGGTGGTTCTGTGGTGGCTTCCAACAGCTTAGCAGTACTGCTTTCCTAGTAGTTTCGGGATCATTCAGAGATCTTGATGGCCCAGTATGGGTTGTCAGCCTGCCCCTGATGTAGCCACTGGAAAGGAGGAATATGGGATAGGGAGGGGAAGCCACTGTGGTTTGGGGGAAGAGCTCATGATGCTGATGGGCTAGGCCTGTGGCTGGTCGTTTCCCCCACAGTAGATGAAGGATCTTTATTTCTGGGACAAGGGGATATGAATATTATATGGGTAAAAACAGCAGATTTTCCACATTTCCAGGCTAGAAATGAAAAATTCTTTGACTTAAAGAACCTCACCTAGTGTTGGGGACAAGCCTTAGAAATGTATATCCCCTTCCATTCTGAATCTGCTGTGGATTTGATGAGTCTTCAAAGCTCCCAAGTTCTGTGGAAAGACCTAACAGGAATAATGTGCATTGCCTGTGGTGAGCAACCCCCCCAAACCCCACCCCAGGCCAGGTATCTGATAGGTTCAGTTTCTTTGCTCTTGGTTGAGATTATCAACTCAGTGTGGTTACCAGTGGCTTTGCATGATTCTTAATAAAATGAATTAGTAATTAATACGATTTCAAAACAGGCTTTTCAGGACTGGTGCTGGTGTGGAGAGATGTGGTGGGGGTTGTGGTTCCCATCCAGGGAAATGGTTGTCCTCTGGGCCTTTCCAGCTCCTGGTCCAGCTCTCTTGGTAGATACAGCAATATTTATTAGCTTTGAATGGTAAATTCTAACTTGAAATAATTTTGCTGCCCCCATTCAAAAATATTTAAAGTTGTAACAATTGTACAAATGCCTTTGCTTAATTTACCCCTTAAAAATAGTTGTATGTAGGGCCTCCCAGGTGGCGCAGCGGTTGAGCGCTGGGTTGCGAAGCTGCCCGCGGCCTCTGTGGCGCCGGTTCGATCCCCGGCTGCTCCCCGGCCACCAAAGGAGGGTCCCACATGGCGCGCGGACCTCTCCTGCCGCCCGCTGCTCCCCTCAGCAGTGTACTTCGGTCCTTCTGCCTGCTCTGCTCCCCGCTCTGGCTCTGGTGAATTCTCTCGCCCTCCCGGCTTCTGACTGTACCCAGTGCATGTATAAAACCAAACAAACAAACAAATAGATAAATAAGACATGCCTCTAGAAAATTAAAAAAAAAAAAAAAAAAAAAAAAATAAAAATAGTTGTATGTAAAACCTGATGATAGAGCTAGATTTCTAGAAGCATTTATCATTTAGTTATATTCTAATGGCATTTGTCCCTTCAGTTGTCAGTGTGTAACTTAGGAAATTAGAAAATCACTCATCTATCCTGATCCACCCCCCCCCCCGCCATCTTGTTCTAAACCTTTAGTGAAGTTTAATTTTCCTTCCTGTTTGACATTCCCCTTCTCCCTCCTTCCCTGTATTTGGCCTAGAGGTCCTCAGTAAATCATTGGGTGTTTGTGAACTGACCATATTCCTACAGGCTTGAACGAAGAACCCAAGGGTGACAAATCATCCTGTTTTAGTTGCTTATGCATGTACCTCAGTTCAGGTTCAGCAAGTTAGAAATGGAAGAAAACTGACAAATTGTGAGAAGGAAAGTTTGGAAAGTAGAGCATGCAAACTATTTAAAAAAAAAAAATGGGAACAAAACAAAACTCTGATTCTAGAAAGTACACAGGATGAATACTTTAGGATGGTGTGTATTCGGGTCTTTGCTTCTGGGAGGGAGTGCCTGGCAGATGTTTGCTGGGATGGAAGATAAATTAAGTGTTTACAGTTCAATCCTGAAGCTGAGAGCGAGATATTTAAAAATGAGGAAAATGAGGTCAGAGGTCAATATGGACAAGTGTGACCACAGAGCTGAGCAGCCTGGGAGAACCTCGTGCAGCCCACAGGTGTGGCCAGGTTCCTTCATGGTCAGGTTTGGAAGTTTCAGTCCGCAGAGTCTGGGATGAAGCATGTAACCCAGTGGCCTTGAAAATAGTTTCTTGGAGGCACCTTTGGTGTCCTTTCTCCTTTCAGGAATTTTTTATCCTTGCATATTGCCCTTCTCAAAGTTTGTTGGTCCTAAAGATTGTCTTTGTCTATATCATTTATAAAAATAGCAGGCAGCCATTCACGTTATTTATTCTTTATATGTATTTTTCTGACCATAACAAACATTTTACTAGATTTGTCTTTCTCAAAGCCTAAATATTTCAGAGACTGCCAAAAAATGTCTTTGCAAGCTGAGCCTGGTAGAGAAAGCCCCTGCCTTGGTCTGTGTCCCCTGTTTCCAAATTGGAGTTCCTTTCCCAGCCTGTGTCTAGGAGGCCAGAGGCATCTCAGCTCTTACTCGCAGGATTTGCTGCTTTAGTTTGCTACCAAAGGATTAGGAGGTTTGATGGGTGCCCTGGCCAACCTCACAACTCTCCCTGGGATGTCAGGTCCAGCTAGAGGACTTCAGGCTCACCCAGGGTGGCTGTGGTGTAGAGGAGGGGAGCAGAGTCTGGGGCATCATTTCTCCCTCAGGAAAACATTTTTTCATTATATTCAACTGTTGAGGTCTTTTTTACCAGGACCATTTTCTCTCCTGCTTGATAGAAGCGGTTTTGACCTGGAGGGTAGTGGCAGAGGACCTCTTCTTGCTTTTTTAAAGAGGGGGACAGTCTTAGCTGCCATGCGCCAAATGGAATGACAAATGGAGTGCTCAGTGGTCCCAGGCACATCATAAGGCCTCTAGGTACTAAATATATCTGGATGTTACTATTGCTTTTGATGAGTATTTGGGAAATTACTCATTAAAAATCAAAGTGTTCTTTTTTTCCTTTACCAGGTGCATTCCATTTTTGCTAGCAGTGAATTTTGCTGTGAAGGGAAAACCTTGTTGTCAGATGTGCAGATCATTGCAGAAGTTTGTAACCCCTGGTTCTTTGGCAGGTGTTAGAGGATTTATGAGAGCTGGTCAGATTGGTGGAGAGGCAGAATATGCCTGCTGTCTGTGGAAGCACAGTTCTGTGGCTTGAAGGTGGAAACAGAATTCTTGGCATAGTTGAGGGTGGAGTAAAGGCCTTGTTGGCTGGAGCAGTTGTGTCTGTTGTCACCAGGATGAAATTTGCAAAGCTGTCTATTATATGTATGGTTACATGTGATGAGTGTTCATTTGGTTTCCTGTGGCTTCCCCTGCTCCCTACTTTTGTTTGCTTGGTTATTTTTTGATGTGCCCATTACCCAGCTGAGGCTTTAGATGAGGAAGTTGGGGGCTATCCATTGTTTCTCTAGCAGAAGCATCACAGAAGTTTGGCCTTGGGTTGCATGGGGTGCTGCATAGGGAGGAGAGCCCCAGCTGGGTGACTGTAGTCTGCTGACCTAGGGATTCCAAACCTCAGGGTCTTCTCTGTACCATAGGAAAAATAATCCTTACCTAGAGAGTTTTCATAAGCATTAAATGAGACAAAGCCTGGCATAAGGCTGCCGTGGCTCCTTTACAGGGTTAGTGGGGCCTGCGAGGCATGGGAGGTGGGGGTATGGATGATGGGGGAGCCCCTCCCTTGTGTTTAGATCTCAGCTGGGTCTTTCTATTTTGGACAGTCCTGAAATCTTCTGGAAAGGTTTTCTCATATTATAGGTGAGGAATAACCATACAACCACTTCTCTTCCACCTACTCAGGTATCCTCAGTTTTGAAAGTCAGAGTAAGGATAATCTCTGGCAGAGTCCTTCCCATGTCTGACTTTGCATCCTCAGATTCCTCTGTGCGCTCACCAGACTGGGGACAAGGACACTGTTCTTGTTTCATCTGTTTATTTAGCAGTGTTTATATCTGTGTCAGGCATGGTGCTAAGTGTTCACTGGTAAGCCATACCAATGGGGGTTCCCAAACTCCTGGACCAGAGCCCATTGTTGGAGATGTGGACCTCCCTCTAGCATGGTAAATGTTTCTTCTTTGGCTAGCTGTGTTTGTGGCATAGCACAGGTTTGACCCTTTATTGTGTAACCCTGGGCCTCAGTTTTCTCCTCTGTAAATTGAGGGGACTTGGCTAAAGCCAGATTATTTTTAAGGCTGTATTAGCTCAGGCCAGATGCTGGAGATTTTTGAAAGTCCAGTGGATGGCTTTAACCATATTCTAGAATAGTAGTCTAAAACCTTTATGAAATGTCAGGAGAAAATGGGGCTCACAGAAAATTCCCTGATGAGTTAGACCAAAGCCAAATTTGACCAAAGCCAAATGTGTAGCTAGGCATTTGGGGTTTAAGATATACCAAAAATGAGAGACTTTTCTTGATTTGTCAGACCAACTCACCCTAATACTTGGATTCTTTGTAGCTTCCTGTTGCCATGCAGGGAAATCACAACCCAAAAGGCCATTCTGTGGAAGTATTTTGGAAATAGAAACATAGTCATAATATTTGCTACTTTTCTTCTCAAGACTAAAACTTGAGTTTAAATTTTGTTTATTAACTTTCTGTGTTGATTTTATCATAGTTTTGAAAGAACGGCGGATTCTTCCCTCCTAGGGAGACTAGGGCATGTCCATGCACTGTCCCCTAGCTCCCAGTACCCGCTATTCACAGAAATGTCTGAGCTGGTGTGTCCTGTGGTCTTGGGGAGCTCATGGCACGCTAAGTGTTTTCTTTCTTTCTCTAGGTCATGGCTTCCACCTTCTCAGGCCCGGGTCTCCAGTGGAGGAAATGACTGTTGGAGACCTTGCTCTAGATCTGTTGCAGAAACTGAACTCTCACAGGGCTCCAACTTGCCCAGGACACGGAAGTTTCTCTCTTTGAAGGGCTTTACATTGCAACCCAGAAGGTAAAAAATGACGACCTCGTCTATCAGACGGCAGATGAAAAACATTGTGAACAATTACTCAGAAGCCGAAATAAAAGTCCGGGAAGCCACGTCCAATGATCCATGGGGCCCGTCTAGCTCTCTGATGACCGAGATCGCAGACCTGACCTACAATGTGGTGGCCTTCTCAGAGATCATGAGCATGGTCTGGAAGCGGCTCAATGACCATGGCAAGAACTGGCGGCATGTGTACAAGGCGTTGACGCTGCTGGACTACCTCATCAAGACGGGCTCTGAGCGGGTGGCCCAGCAGTGCCGTGAGAACATTTTTGCCATCCAGACTTTGAAGGACTTCCAGTACATCGATCGTGACGGCAAGGACCAGGGCATCAATGTACGTGAGAAATCAAAGCAGCTGGTGGCCCTCCTCAAAGATGAGGAGCGGCTGAAGGCTGAGAGGGCCCAGGCTCTCAAAACCAAAGAACGCATGGCCCAGGTTGCCACTGGCATGGGCAGCAACCAGATCACCTTTGGCCGAGGCTCCAGCCAGCCCAACCTCTCCACCAGCTATTCAGAGCAGGAATATGGCAAGGCCGGGGGATCACCTGCCTCCTACCATGGATGTGAGTAGTGGAAGCACTCCCTACCCCTTGCCAGAGTGCGCTGAGTGCAGCAGCGCTGGGAGAAAGGTAGGGTGGGTGCCCTTGGGCTGGGTGAGAGCTTGCCTCTGTTCTCCATTCTCAGCTTTGCACAGCTCAGACAATAGTGTCCTTGGTCTGCATTGACTCACACTTAACAAAGGGGCTTTTGGCCCCTTGGCCACTTGGGCTTGGAGGTCTTGAGACCTTCTGCTGCCCTGTGGTCTGATTCAGTACCTCTGGGTAGGGCTGGCCCAGTACCCCTAGGTAACAGGCAGGCATAGAGACGGGTTTGTCTGCTTCCTCCTCAGGAGAGGCTGGAGTGAAAGGGTTGGCCTGCTGCACAGGCAGTGGAGAGCTGACTGTATTCGGGAGGAGAAAACTAATGCTCTTCCTTGGTAATTTTGTTGCTTTAATCCTATTAAATTCTTTTCTAATGATTGGGCTACAAGTCTTATGACTGGCTCAGTGTTTTATTGTACTTCAGTATCACAGATGGTGAGATATGGGATGTCGCTGTCTCACTTTTAGAGGGAGAAAATAAAATCCTCTGCAGGTATCAGTGTGAGCAAGGCTTCCTTACCCAGCACATGGAGGAGGTTTCTTGGTGATTTGGTTGTATGGCTGGGTCTGTGCTAAATGGTGCTGCTCTGTTTTCTTGTTCTGCCCATTGTTCAGAAGTGCAGTTCGGGGCCTGGCGAAGCTAGTCTCTGGGGGCCATGTTGGCTTCCTGGCCAGTAGTCCCAGGCTGTGTGCCCTTTGCCTTCACAGTGTGGTGTGAAGGCAGGTGGCCCGACTGGCCCATAGGGTAGAGTTGGGGAGCATGCAGAAACTGTGCCTTCTGACTGAAAACAAAAACATAGGTCTCTGTACCCTTGTTTTGAATTGGTAATACTGCGTCAGCACAGAAAAAAATTTTTTTAAAGAAGTTGTTTGTAGTTTGACAAACCCTGTCAGCCCTTGCTTAGTCAGTGGTTCCATTACCAGACCACTTACTGACATTTCCTACCTTTGCAGGTTTCAATTTGAATTTTGAGAAATGTGAAAATTTTGAAAAATAGGAGATTTGCATATTTTAAAGTCAGACTTTCAGCCTCTAGGAATTTTAAGTTATTATCAAGCTTGGAGCGGGTTTTCTAGTTTTTGTCCCATTTTTAGTTATTGTCATTTCTCCCTCTTAGTTTGAATTGCTCTTTAAAATAAGTAGAGGTTGTGACCTTCATGAAACTGCTTAGGAAGCATTGTAACATGGATGGATTTTCAGAAGTCTCCTAGGCCGGATTGTATCAGAAAGTGGAGATTGCCTTTTAAGAAGTGAGGTTGTTTATTTTTCTCAGGGAACCTCTCCCCGCCCCTCATCCTCCTCCTCCCCTCCCTGAAGGCTCCCTGTGGTTTGAGTTGGTCTTTGTCTGCCTTGGCTTCCTCTTTGGGAAGTAGCTGTGGCCATGGGAGCTGCTCTTCACTGTTAGTTTGCCCTTTGCAGTCATTATTCTCAAGAAACCAGGGCAAGCAAAGTAAGGAGCTGCTATAGCATCCTGTTCCATCATTAGTTTGTGGTGTGGTCCTAGTGCAGGGGTGAGGCATTGTGTGTGAGATCCTGGGAGTCTGGCTAGGGACTTCCCGACACAGGTGTCTGTCACTTCCACTGGGCTGACTGCTGCTGACATGGTCCCAGCTCTCCCCCTCAGACTTCAGGCTCAGGCTGTATGTTCAGGATCAGAATATGGCTGGCAGCCAGGCAGTCCCTTCAAGCTCACTGGGCATCAGCCTTGGCTTACACCTCTGCCACACCCTCTTCCTCTAATGGCGTGTCTCTCTCTGTGTGTATGTGTGTGTGTCCCTACCCGACAGCGCCCGAGGCCTCGCTGTGCCCCCAGCACCGCACAGGGGCCCCGCTGGGTCAGAGCGAGGAGCTGCAGCCGCTGAGCCAGCGCCACCCCTTCCTGCCGCACCTGGGGCTAGCCTCCCGCCCAAATGGCGACTGGTCCCAACCCTGCCTCACTTGTGACCGCGCAGCCCGAGGTGGGACGGCGGTTTGCTTTTCTCCTTCCTAGAAATGCTGGGCTGCTTGCTGGGGGTGTACTTGTCATGTCAGTACAGCCAACTCTCTCCCTGTCTCCTTTCGGACCTTGCGGTCCCCCCTCCAGTGAACCTAAGGCCCCTGTCTTCCTCTCTGCCTAGGAGCTCAGGTGGCCTTGCCAAGCTGCCCTCATACCGTCATACATCATTTGCTAGAAGTTCTGCTGAAGGCTCAGTATGAGAGCTGCTTTCCCGGTAAAGCACAGGGTGCTTGCCCGTGCTCTCCCTGTGTCTCCCAACCCTGAAAATTGGAGATTGCTCTCCTGTCTTCTAGACCCAGGCATAGTGGAGGGTCCAGCCACTTGGCTTGTTGAGCCAGAAATGTGTGGTTTAAATCTAGCATAGATGGGCGATCCTAAGGGCCTTGGTGGATAGTCATTGGAAGCCACCATCCTTGATGCAGTGATATGTGTCTTGTTGAGTACAAAATAGGATTGTTTTTGCTTCTCAATTAACTTTCATCCTTCCTAAAATTCCCATTACCGTGGTCAACAGAGAGTTAGCTGTACTGTCAATTCTAGGTCAGTGTTTGAAGATACCTAATTCAATGGGTAACTAAAAATGGGGCTTTTCTTTTAACTAATTAATAATGTATCCTGGTCAGAGCCTGTAACTGTTGCAGGTTAAGCTGAAAACAGATTTTCTCTGTGCCTAATGAGAAAATACTATCAGTTTAAACTACCTTCTGTCCCAGGTGGGGTCCTACCATAGGGAAGACAATTGTCCTCGTCTCCTCTTACTTAGAAGTGACATTGATGAATCTTTGTGTGACTCCCGGATGAGGTGGCCAGCTTTTCCTCAGCCCTGGAAACAGTTACTGTTCATTCATGCCTCATTAATATTACAGTTTGTTTGACTTAGGTATCTGTTTGATTGCTATATTTAGCTCTGGGGATATTTTCCTTTGTGCCCTTGTCTTTCCCTAACACTTTAGGCAGTATTTTGTAAGGAAAACTAGCTTTGCATTGTAGGCAGTGCAAAAGATCAGAGTGTTCAGAAGGATAACCCAAAGGCATGGAGTTATACTCTGTTTCTCCCCACACACATTCTGGGTCTGTTTACAGAAGGTTCCCAGTGTTTTCCAGAACTCCAGTAACCCTTCCTCCCTCCATTATTTTTCCTAGGGTTCTACTAATTAAGTGATTGACATGCTCTGTATTAAGTTTCAGTGGTTAATTCTACATTCTCCTGGCTTTCTAGCTTTCTAAGTGGCAGTTGACTTTCCTGTTTGTTTGCATATTTAAGTCAACCCCAAATAAGCCTCATATACATCCCTGTCTCCTCCCACTCTGACCCACCAGGACCAGCTACCCCCTTCACCAGGCGCAGTTCTGCCTCTTTCCACTTAGGCACTGTCCCCCATACACACATATCTAACAAGTTGCTTGAGGTAGGCAGTCCATATGGATTTCTGCTCTCCTTCTACTCTGTTAGGAATTAAGGATAAAAAATGATTTTTTGGACAATTTTTGACAATCTCCCAAATGAGTTTTGTGCAGACAAATGTTATGTGGGGTTGTCTTTTACTCTATAACCGTATCATGTGTGCATTCCTCTTTATCTCATGTTTCCCTGTCATGGAGGGTTGGGGGATGGGGCAGGACCCTGTCCTTTCTCTCTGTTCTTTCTTTAAGCACCAAAGTGTTGAGTGTCAGGTAGGTGCTTAATATATGCATAAGGGAGGTTTTGCTTTGCACTTACCTGCTTGGAATCCAGCAGTGGAGAAGTCAGAGTGACACCAGCCACTCAGAAAATGATCTTGTGCAGTACAAGCTGTGTTTTGGGGAGACATTTGTGAGCGCACACTTAGGCCCTCAGGGCCCGGGGTGCTGGGACTGAGGCAGACCACCTTAAAAAAGCCCCTTCATGTAAGACAAGCACAACAGGAGGTTTCTCTGTCTCAACTGGTTATTCTGCTCCTTAGTGACCTTGGTGTTTGAGATCTTTCATATGCCACATCCATTTGATCTCTGTTTCCTCCCTCCCTCTCACCTTCCCTTGGAAATCACTCAAAATCTGTCCTTCTCTAGTTCCATTGCCTCAGTTCAGTGCCAGCTTTCTTGCTGGTTTCCTTATCCAGCCTCCATCTTTATAAATATTACCCTGATCCCAGAAATGATGCCGGGTCCCGCACAGCACCTTTAGATTCCAAGGGTACTTGCGGGGTCCAGCCTGAGTCTGTGACATGATAGACAATTCCCTTCCTTTGTGGGCCTTGGTTCCCTTCTGCCCGCTCAGGTCTGCTAATGTCTGCCTCAGGCACTGTACCAAATTTTCTCTGTGAAGCCCACCCCAGTTGCACCCTGGGCTTCCCCATCTCCTCATTCACTCAGCATTTGTGTATTGTGTTCCCATTGTGTGCTAAATAAGCACAAGCAGTGTCTCCTGCCTCCTATAGGCTGCATACTAATGGGAAGAGAGAAAAATGAACGTAGGACATTCTACTCACATTGCATGATGACTGCTGTGGAAAGCAATAAGCCAACACCAAAAACTACCTAGCTAAGTATGAGTGAGCTGTCTGAATGAGGGTCTGGAAGACAGAGGGCAGAGCCATGCAGATACCCTGAGGTGGGAGTGTGCTTGGATATGTGCAGAGCAGGGAAACAAGCTGGAAGTGAGTGAGGGAGCGTGGCAGCTGAGCTCGGGGTGGGAGTGTGGTTGAGGGCTGATGGGGAGAAAGTGTAGGCAGCGGAGGACTGACCTGGGGAAGGCTTACCCCACTTCTCAACTCTCCGGCAGGGTGTTTCTTTGAATTCCTAGTCCATCCCATATTGATATTTTTATATCTCCTGGGCTATTGTAGCAATGATTGCTATTAAATTTTCGATTAAATTGCTATTAAAATTTCTAAATACTTTCTCACTATACTCATGTCACGCACCACATGCTGACTAGGCAGGCCTAGGCTCTTCGGGGCCATTGGAAAACTTTTACTCAGTGGATGGAGAGGCATGGAAAGGTTTGGCACTGAGATGGGACTTGATCTGATTTAAGATGAGACACATTTGGAGGATCTACTGGCTTTGTATGGGGGCAGGTTGGGCAAACGGAGACCTTGGGAGTCTACCGCCTTAATCCAGGTGAGAAATCAGGCCTGGGCCTGATGAGGCTGTGCAGATTTCATTGTTCATTTTTGTACAACGTTTGATTTCTCCTCTCAGCTAGTATCCTGATCCCCTATTTGTTTCCCCTATATTACTCCTATAAGTGAAACCATCTAATATTTTTCTTTTTCCTTCTGGCTTACTTCACTGAGCATAATCCCTTCCAATTTCATCCTTATTGCTGCAAATGGCATGAGTTTATCTTTTTTGATTGCTGAGTAGTACTCCAATGTGTATATAGCACATCTTCTTGATCCAGTCATCTCTTTTTGGGCGTTTAGGTTGTTTCCATATCTTACATATTGCAAATAGTGCTGCTGTAAACATAGGGGTACAGGTTTCCTTTCAAATTCATGTTTTTGTGTCTCTTGGGTAGATTCTGAGGAGTGGAGTTGCTGCGTCAGATGGTTGCTCCACTTTTAATAATTTGAGGAGCCTACACACAGCTTTCCATAGTGATTGGACCAGTTTGCATTCCCCTGGGTGATTTTTTTTTTTTTAAAGGGCCAACAGAACTTGCTAGAGGACTGGGTGGCGTGAAAGAGGAGTTGAGGACAGCTCTGAGAACAGCAAGCAGAGCAGCTGAGAGATGGAACTGCCAAGCCTTCACATGAAGGTGGCTATGAGTGGAACAGGTTTGAGTGGAGGCAGGATTACATTTGGACATGTTAGAGTGTCTACTAGACATGCAGGTAGAGGAGTGGAGAAAATTTGAGAAGTCTAGAACTTGCAGGGAATTCTGGGCCCAAGATGTCTTCAGCTCTTTGCCCTCACCTTCAGCCCTTTTACTCACATTTACCTCCATGACTCTGCAGTCTCTGGTGCACTGGCTGCTCTCTTGGTTTGCATGTATAGGCTTCCTCTGTGACCCTGACTTGGCACTGCTGTATGCAAGCGGAGCTTTGGTGGCCAGAAGAATCATTTTAGGCTGAAGGATTGGGGTTTGCCTGAGACCACACAGAGGTGACAGCTGAATGGACAGGATGGACAGGATATGAATAGCCTCTTACATCCCCTCCCCCCAGCTCTATCCTCCCTCCCAGCATTCTGCTTAGAGCCCATCGTGGAGTTCTGGAGGAATTGCAGAATTTCCTAGAGCAGCAGGAATTTACATCCAAGGTAGCAAAGGGAAAATTGTCCCTGTGAGTTAAAGCAAAGACCTGAAATCATAATGATGGCCACTGTCCACTGATGTGGATATTCCATGGACAGGCCTCCCCCTTGTACTCCCTGAGGTGGGAAGGAAATGCCCAGTTTGTGTTTCCAGTTCCCATTACTAAACTCCCTGAATCAGTCTTCAGAATCAGGACTGTGGTTACTTTTCTATAGAGTGCACGTGTCTCATGTTGCCTGGTGTCTTGGATTTCTGGGTGGGAACTGCCAGTATTCCCACTTTGAAAGGAAGAAAGAAGGAGACTAAAAATCTTCATCACCGTGTGATCAGGTGAATTAGAACCAACAGAAACTCTCAGATCTGAAACAGGCCAGTAGCAGGTTTTGCCCAGAGTGGGTGCTGCTGCCTTGGCCAGGTCTCTCGGGCTGACACCTTGCCTCAGTGACACCATCAGCACATTAACTGGTGTGAGCAGCTTCTCTGTGGTTTGGGCCTGCTTCTAGAGCATTTCAGTGCTTCCTTCAGGCCAGCCAATCTTTTGGGCTGGGGGCTTCTCCTGTCAGCCTGTTCTCATATTGTCATTCACCTGTTGTTTAAAGATTATGACTATTTCATTTATTGCCCTGCTAAACTCTAGAAAAGATTGGAGTTGTCTTACAAAACATATGCAACACCAGAGGATTAAATAGTGAGCAGAAGAAATTGGGGCAAAAGAAAAAATA